TTCAGCCTTTTTTTAATATTCAGCCTTTTTTAACATTCAGCCTTTTTTTTAATATTCAGCCTTTTTTTAATATTCAGCCTTTTTTAACATTCAGCCTTTTTTTTAATATTCAGCCTTTTTTTAATATTCAGTCTTTTCTTTTGATGTTCCGCCTTTTTCTTTAATGAAGGGTTTATTAATGAAAGAGCCCCGTCGGATTCGGAAGAGAAGCTCATTAGACATATTGAAATGCAAATATCTAATGGAATTCTCGGCGAGACCATTCGTCTTTTTGTTGCATGAGCGATTCCGTTTCGATGCAATTTCAGATGGCTTTGCGTTCCATCTAAATGGCAACCTTAAATATGTGAGACCGTGAGGACCGATGATGAGAGGGCGGGGCGGGGCGGGGCGGGGCGTGTGACTTTTTTTTAATCACGACATTTCCTGCAGTTTCTTCGCACTCGTGACGTCGGCGTGTTCGAAGTCGAGGAATCCGATCGTGCATGCTTGAGATGGCTGCATCGGGAAATAGTGTGGATCCTTTCGGATGGTGTGGATCCTTTCGGAGTTGATTTCGGGAAGTACGAGTGGCGGTCAAAAAGCCTTTTAAATTTCTCGCTCATACGCATACGCATGATGGAAAATAGGTTTCGCCAATACGGCTTCTCGACGTTGTCCTCCTCGATGTTCGTGTACCTTTTGGACGATGTGGGAGCCTCTCGGACGATGTGGGAGCCTTTCAGATGATGTGGGAGCTTCTCGAGGCCATCTGCGATCCACCGTTTCGGTGTGTTCTGCACCCACGCCGGACAGCTTTTTGTAACTGCAGTGCTGGTACTCCACGATGCAGATCCAGATGTTTTCTTTTTTTTTTCGGAAGACTCGTCACCGCCGATGAGACTCGGTTCCATCACTTGGAATCAGAGACGAAGGCGCCACCGAAGCGACGGAAGAATCGAAGACGGTTCGAAATCGAAGACGGCTCCACCCGCCGGGAAGCAGATGCCCGCCGTGTTTAGGGACCGTCGCGGAATCGCACTCGTCGATCGGTTTCCGAAACGTCAGACGATCGACGGGGACGCACGTGTGGCCACCTCGACGGGTTCATTCGGCGGAAGCGCCACGGCAAACGGCACGGTCCCGGACGGTCCAACCTCCCCCGCACCGCCCCGATTTCGTCCCCGGCGGTTGCCGGTCGCTTGGCGACACCGACGAGTCGTTGCGGGGACGGCACCTTGCGCAGACGCCGACCAGAGGCTCCCACGTCGTTCGAAAGGTGCACGAACGTCGAGGGAGATCTCGTCGAGAAGCTCTACCTGTGAAACCTGCGTTCCGTCACACGTGTGCGTGTGAATGAAAAATTGAAAAGGCTTTTTCACCGCCCCTCGTATTTGGTGTGAAGGACAAAAAAAAAACTGGGGCACGTGTCGGATTGGGACATTCTGTCCGAAAACATTCGCGTTTTGAGTTTCTTTTGAAGCAGGCAGCTCCCCTTTATAGATGATTTTTTCCCAGAAGCCACCGTGCAGGTATCGGAGGGTAGTCGAATTTCCGCGTCGCATTCGCCTTTCTCGTCACCGAATCCGAATCGGGAAAAACGAGATTTCTCGCTCCCGCACCAGACCGCGACGCCTTAAAATCGCTCGCGAGAGCCCAGCGGATAAAAAAAAAATGTGGATCCCGTCCTCGAACTCCCTCAGCCACGTGAAGGACATCCACTCGGTGCTGGAGGTGACCGTCTACGACGAGGACCGAGACAACAAGGTGGATTTCCTGGGGAAGGTGGTCGTCCCGCTCCTGTCCATCCGCAACGGGGAGCGGAGGTGGTACGCGCTCAAGGACAAGAAGCTCACCGGACGGGCGAAGGGGTCCTGGCCTCAGATATACCTCGAGATGAACCTCGTGTACAATCCGGTAGGTGGTGCGGGCGAGGAGGAGGGAGGGAGGGAGGGAGGGAGGGAGGGAGAGAGGAGGAAGGAGGAGGAAGGTGGAGGGTGGAGGTTTGCGTGACGGTTTCGTCGTAGATTCGGGCGAGCGTGAGGACGTTCAACCCGAAGGAGGAGAAGTACACGGCGACGGAGCAGAAGTTCAATCGGCACGTGTTTCTCAGGAACGTGACCCGGCTGAGGGACATCGCGATGTCGTTCGTCGAGACCTCCAAGTTTGTCGGGTGAGGGCACGGTTTCGGGGGAAGGGCAATGTTTCACGAATCCATTTATTTATTTATCAAATGATTGCGGGACAGGAGTTGTTTGGAATGGGAGAGTCCATCCCGGAGCATTTCCGCCTTCATCGTCTTCCTCGTCGTGACGTACTTCTTCGAGTTCTACATGATTCCGGTCGCGCTCCTCCTCCTCTTCCTGAAGAACTACCTGGTAAGACGGCTCCGTTTCCTCTCGGCGGATTCCGCTCGTGCCGCTGACCGAGCCGAAGGTCCTCCGGCAGTTGCTGTCCGGGACGAGTCCGGGACCCCGGACGCACGCGGACGACGACGACGAGTTCCCGGACGACGAGGGGGACGAGGAGGACGACAAGGTAATTCCACGGCGATTCGGTCGTTCGAGGTCGCACGGGGTCCTAAAGCTTCGTTTTGGGATCGGCTTAAAGATGAGCCACGTAGTCTGTCGCTTGCATCGACGAGCACGTAGTTTTTAATTAGTGCTTTTTTTTTGTGAGGAAAAAACGGTCTTTCGGTGTCAGTAGAGGATGGACTGCATGACGCGTCCGTGTCTTTCCTTTTTCTAGCCCAGACCCGCTGAGGTACGTTGCATGCATTCATACCGTCGGCTTCCTCTCTTCTCTGCCCTTTTCTCTCGGTCTTCTTCCTTCTTCTCGGCGGGGGGACTTTCGCGTCGGATGCATGCGATCGCACGCCCGACTCCCTCCGACCGCACGGACGTTCGCGTCCGCTCTTGGAGGTCGCCGTCGAGCGATTCCCGATCCCCCGAGTCTCGTTCCCTCAGGAGGAGAAGAAGACGCTGAAGGAGCGGCTGCAGGCGATCCAGGAAGTGACGCAGACCGTGCAGAACGTCCTCGGCTACATCGCGTCTCTCGGGGAACGCATCGCCAAGTACCGGCCTCCCTCGTTCCGCTCCCGCATTCCGTGCCGACGTCGGATACCGGCATTCCGCGTCCTCTCTCTCCTCCTTAGCACGTTCGCCTGGACGGTGCCGTTCCTGTCGTGGCTGGCCATCGTGGCGCTGGCGGTGGCGACCGTGATACTCTATCTGGTGCCGACGCGGTGGCTCGTCCTCGCCTGGGGCATCAACAAGTTCGCCAAGAAACTCGTGCGGCCGCACTCCATCAACAACAACGAACTCCTCGACTTCCTCTCTCGCGTACCTGACTCCGACGAGTTGGTGAGTTGCTTTTTTCTCGGTTTCGTTTCGGTCGCGGGGTTCCCGGGGTCGATTTCGATGCGAAGACGGGAGAATGATGCCGGGATGAAGTGCGGTGACCGCAGGAAGGGGCCGATTCGAAGTTTTGGACACGACCGGCTATTTCTTCTTTTTTTTTCATAACGAAAGACATTGTTGAGATGCGAGGTGCGAGCCACGACGTCGGGGTCGGACGAATTTTTGCGTCGACGCATCTCCGCAGAGGAAAGCTGGTAAATCGGCGTGATTTAGCAGGCCGTTAATGGGGAACGGGACTTTCGCGTCGACCTTCAGGAATCGCCGACATCAGATAAATAATTGAAGGAGGTGTAAAAAAAAAAATGGAAGCCCGCTTCGATATACGTTCATGCATGAAAGATGGATGATGCGACGATTGCAAAGGAGGGAGGAGAATGGGACCGTCGTGACGCGAGAGCATCCATTGTCTTATCGTGCGGCTGCATCCCGCGTCCTCGAGGGCTTTTCCCACGGGTATCAGCTCGGTCCTTCCCGGCTTCCTTGCGGCGCAGGGCATTCGGTGCGGGTGGGATGCTTAAGAGGACCCTTCGAGAAATCCGAGTCCATTGGCACCCAGATCATGGGAAGGAGTGGGCTTCATTTTTCTTGCCTCTGATCATCTAGCGACGTTGGGAATGGAAACTAATGAAGAGATAAAAAATGTTGACGTGATCCTGAACCAAACTGCCGAGAGGAATGTCAGAGATCGGCTCGAGGGGGGGGGGGGAATGTCGGGAAGGAAAATTGGGTTCCCTTCATTGCTGGGGCTTCCCTCAAGTAGCATCCACGTTCAATGAAATAATTGAATTGCGGAGATCGCGGTTTCCCTCGCTCGGCTGCTGCGAATAAAAAGAAGTCCAAATTTCCCCCACATCAAATAGAGGTGTAAAGCGAACGCAAGACCCACACGATGGGAATTTTGAAACGATTCTACTCGTTCCTAGTACGGTGTTCTGAAAATGAATTCGTACCACCTTTAACCCTTGCTTTTCGATGGAGGAATCCTCCCAACCCGACATCTAACGCATGTAGAGTCGACCACAGTGGATTGGAGAACGTTGAAGACGAGAATCGCGTATGAAGGAAATGAGTTTTGTCTTTTGCCAGGAAACTGATGGGTTGGAATGCCAAAGGGTTTACAATAGGGTCCCGGAGAACGAGTAATGAGAAATCGCTCCAGGGAAATTTTAAGAGAAACGATCAAGTGTTAGTAGAAGGGAGGAAGCATGCAGAAGCCGAATACAAGGAAGGATAACCATGGAGCTATGTCTCAGGCTTTAGGTCACGTATCCCATCGCACCTACAGATTGTTACAGATTCTGCTAAATATTGAAGAAAAGAAAAAGAAATGTCGACGGCCATAGCTATCTTGAAATACACAGCCCAATATAGACTTGAAGTAGGTAGAGCATTTGACATGGAAGCCTCGGGACATGAGATTGCATACCTGCCCGACATAGTGCTTGGCAACGATCCTGTGACTCGACGATACGTCGATCCTTTCACGCGGGCCGCGCGACGTCATCTCTGCCGTGCGGCCGCTCCCAAGGGACTGGCCGATTCGTGCGATGTCGCGCTATTAAGCGGGAGGGAGACATCTATCCTCCGGAATGGAAACTATTGTTGGACCTCCTCTGACGCCGCATCGGATGCTCCGTTCGGTTCCCATGGGCGATGTTAAAGGTGGTGCGGGTTCACTTGCGAAAAACACTCTCTCGCATTTTATGCAGGGCCACTGTGGAAATGTCAAGCCTGAAAGATTCTGCTTTCAGCTATAATGGAGAAAAAAGATTCAGTCGTTCCTTTCCCGTTTTAGACTTTCTCCCGTGACGATTGAACATCTCGATTGAAAACGTTGGAGATTCAAGATCTTGCATCATTCCGTAAAAAGTTAAATAGTTCAAAATTGAAATAGTCGCACAAAAATGACCGAAGAACATTTTTGTAAAATTGTCAGTCGTCCCGAGAGGGAGAAAAATCCTTCGATGCATGAGATATGCCAGCCAGATTCGATCAGAAACCTCTCAGAATCTTTGAATATCAAGCGATGGAAAAAAAAACCCCCAAAGCATTCAAATGCTTTAAGGAATTGCTTTAAAATATTTCTTCCCTTTTTAGGTGAAATTCCGGGAGCTGCGGACGTCGTCCTCGAGCCAGTCGGACAAGCGCCGCGACACCCGACACAAAAAAACCAGCTGAGACCGAAGCGAGTCTCGTTCGAATCGCTTGCCTTCTCGCGTTCCTCTTCGTTTCTAGTCCGGTGCCAGTGTGATTCGTGTTTTTTGCGAACAGGGTTCAGGAAGATCATCGTGCCAAGTGTACCCTAGGGTTCTGTGATTATGCGATTTTTGCTTTCAAATTTGCGACGTTTTGGACCCGAGATGCACCTTGTTTCGGCTCAATTACTCTGCACGGATTTTGAGATATCGGGTTACTGTGTTATCGATTTGAAAACCAAGCACACATCGAATTGCATCTTGTGATCATTCCAACTTGTTGATTTGGATCGCCAAAGATCGAATAAAGAAATCCACATCCTGTTGACAGAAAGTATCCCCTATCTTCGAAGTGATTTTAAAATCTCAGACGACTAGGTAGGGGCAGCAATATCAAATTTCAGTTCCACAGAATTACCCTGAAGTCCGAGTTCTAATCGGTGTGCTGTTTCTCGTAGCCTGTCAGAGCCCTGCCCTATTTTGACACAGGAGTATTATTCTGCCATGCAGATGGGAGAAGTTGTGCGACTTGGTAACCGGGTTGCTGGGACGGGTAGCGACCGATCAGGAAGGCAAGGCAGGGAGAAATAAATAAATGACAGAGGAACGCTAGGGAAATAATGCAAAAAGAGTGTTTGGGGTGAGTTATGGTAATGGATTGAAAGAAAATAAATAAATGAAGACTGACAGCGAGAAGACGGAGCTCCCCCAAGAGGCACCGAGAAGACGATACCGGTCGGGCGGGAAGACGAAGCACCTGAGCGGAACCGGGAATGCATCCCCAAGTGGCCGATGTTGGTAAGTTCAGGGGTGAGGATATCCATTTTTCATTCCGCGCGTGGACAGAAAGATTTTTTCGGTGTTGCGTATTTCCTCGATCAAATTTGCCTGATCGTAATTTCGCCTTGTCATCGGCGTGAGAAGGGGTCAGCAATCGGAATGGGTATTTCACGACCGCTACTAACCACCGAATTAGACGGTTTCTTGCGCCTCGGAAACCCCATCCTTCACTCTTTTCATCCGTCGCAATCCGCCTCGCGCTTGACCCCAGCGTCATACATTCATCTCCATCCCGCACCTCATGCACGCGACCCCGTGCTAGACTCCCTGGTACGTAGCAGTTCATATGTACTGTCTACTCGTACGCATCCTGTCATCGAAAGAATATCTGGTGGTGTCAAGTGCCCTAATTCAGCGGTTCCCAAACTGTGGGTCGCGTAAATTTTCCAGTATAAAAAAATCACAAAATCCTTTTCCGCTCAGGATAAAACATGCCCTGCAGAAAAGGCCCATCGGTTTTCTTCACGTCATGATTACTTTGAAAATACCTCGTTCGGATTCCGGTGGGTCGCGAAATTTTCTGAACGTCAGCAGGTGGGTCCTTATTCAAAGAAGTCTGGGAACAGCTGCCTTAATTGAACCCTTAACCCATACTCTGAGCATTTTTTCACCCCAACAGTTTGTGCGAATAACCGTTTATTTGATTTAATGGCGAGCTAAAACCACAAAGACACGACATGCCATCTATTGACCGTAGAGATGATTTGCAAAGAGGTTCGATCGATAAAGCAGGCCTGTGCAAGATCCCATCCGGCAGACCAGGCAAGGCACCGCATACCGAGCCCGCCTCTCAAGGCCGACGCACACAGACTGCGAACCGCTGCGGCCGTCTGCGAAGCATCATCCACATTGGTCGCAGAGCTCCCAAGCCGAGTCGAATATGGCTGTGTAGTATTTGAGAGCTCGTGCCGCAACACAAGTGCAGTCGCTCACCTCTCTCTCTCTCCTGAGAACTAACTTTTTCCACTAGTTTGAAAAGTACTCTCCCTCATTCGTTTCGCGCTCTTAAAAAAAGATATGGAATTTGCTCTTATGAAGGAGTAATCGATTGCACTTCTTCGTTTTTAGGGTGTAAAACCGCTAACTCCAGTTTCGCTCACTTTTTCTAAGAGTGTAGTAGAAAATATCATCAGCGAAGATGAGTGTTTTTTTATGCTATGTCCGTGAGAATTTCTCTTCAGCATTCGAAGACCCTTCTTGATCTGCCGGAGGAGAGGGCAGGACACACTTCCGACCGTGCATTTCCCCGGTGACGTTGATTTCGGTAAATGCATACTCCATACAAATATTCTGCATACCTCAAATACGTACAAATCAAACAGCATTCTTCTGAAGGTGGGGACGACTCAAGGCTTTGCACTCTTCTGAGCTTTAAAAATTAAAATTCATGAATTGAAGCAATGAAAAATAATCAGGAATATAATTGTTATCGAAACCTTTCTGGAATATTTATCTACAATAACTGAGTAACTCGCTCATGGAGAATCAATGATGATTGGCATCATCTACTGTCGAAGTCATGCCGCCAAACTTTTCATATTATGTATCCAATGATTTCATAACTTTCAGTCAATAGATACGCAGCACGAACCACTGCGAAGGTGCGACAGGAACCGACCCGTCCGATTCAGCTGCGAAGCGCACTGCAACGAACTGCGACGGTCGCAACGCGGCTCTTCGCAGTCAGTGTGCATGGCCCTACAGACGGGTGAGTCCGCCGATGGGTTAAACCCTTTGGCAAGCCAAAGAGATGATAGTTCAAGCTCAAGGGCATTTCCATTTTCTTGGCAAATGCCAGGAGCTTCTGAAAGACTGTGCACTCCCCGTTAGATCCTACTTGGGGCATACGCATAGGCGTTTTCATCGAATCAATAGTGGCGGTTTAGAATTGATCTCTTGCCTCTGCTCAGCCACTCAAACGAAGTGGTATTTCCTGGGTCTGGAGCATCTATTTCATTAAATAAAGAAAATCAACGGTAGAATGCCTTCACTTACAGAATGCGAAAAATAGTTACCACTGTAATAATGGGTTTTCTTGAATTACAGTGAACCTATATAAATAAATTTTGCATCATTTAGTAAGAGAAACTTTCTTTGACTGAAAACCACACAAAAAAATCTATTTCTGAGGCAAGATACGATACAGTGAAAATTATATTAAAAGAAATGTACACACTATCACCAAAGGACAAGTTCAAGGCGAGATCAAGAGATGGGCCACCAAGATTATTTCAATAAATGAATTCTACAGCATTTTTTACTGACCAATTCCCAAGAACAGAGTGAAGAGTCTCCTGGGGCCTGTTTCATGGAATGTACAAGTTCTATATGTTACAAGTGCTTTAGTTTTATTTTACCAGATTGTTTCATGAAAATGCAAGTTGTAACTAGTAATTACCAGCAAAAGACTCATGTTTTACAAGGTATTTGGACTTGTACCTTTAATTCTTTCATGGTTACACAAGATACTAGTGGAAACTTCCTACTGCGGGGGTCTTGGTAAATATCAAACGTATCGTGCCCTTGATAATAAATGCTATTATTTCTTGGATTGAATTGTTCCAGAGACAAATACCCACATTTTGCATCAAGTGAAGCTCAACTACAAATCTCTGCTCAAGTTCAGCGACCTTTTTCATCCTAACACATTCACTGTCATAATCAAAGATGAGAAGCCATCAAAAAATGTCAAGTGAGCACACGATCAAGTTCAAAAGGATAAGTTAGTTTCACTCCCATACAACAGATGATCTTATCAGCAGTTTGATCACATCCTCTTAGGCTCACAACATGTTTGGGAAAACATCCATAAGTATCTAGCTAGGTATTACTGACTGGTGGTTTTAGAGGCAGAAGGTAATTTTTCCAACTCTGAATGCATCCAAGATCATGCATACTGTGCCTGTCCATTACGGACAACTCCCTTTTTTATAGCATAAAAATGTGGCACTGTTGGTTGAGTATTGGGTGGGCTCAGGATCGGAGATATGCATGATTGTAGTAGAATATTACGTCAATGCATTCCAGCTGTTGTGGGTGCTTTCAAGTTTGACTAAATGACACCCTGCAATGCTATATGTTTTACCAGAACCTATAATCTCCAAGGAAACAGCATTTCCAAGTATGTCCTTCCAGTGTGCACACTTCTTGTATGCTTCTCAGAGAACGTGCGAAATAGCATGACCTGAATTTCTTCAAAAGTTCTGAACTCGATTCCGAAGTCTCACAGTACCAACAGACAAAAGGTATTCCTTTTTAAGAAGGGCTACATGGTTCTATGAAACATCACAAGACAGTTGGTCGCTCATTTCCGTTTAACTTCGCTGGACTGAGGGTGAAGAAAGATGAGACATGAAATTGCGACCTTCCTTTTCTTAATTAGTCAGCTTACTCTCAATAGGTGCCATGAAGGATGCACCAATACATTGCAAGCATGAAGATGTTAGGAAAAGAGTTGAATGTAAGTGGTGAAAGAAAACAGCAGCTCTGAATACTCTTCACCAATATTTACACAAGCACCATGAAACAGTATATGAAGGAACTTGCAATTACGTGCTAATCACTAGCAAGCTTGCAAATTCCCTGGAATAGGCCCCTGGCAGCCCACTTATGGATGACTAGCTTCTTTGAGTGCTTGCATTGCTCAATTCTTTTACATAGGCTGCTTGTAGTGGTTCCACCAGCATGTCTACAATTTGCAAATGCGAAGTGTGTCCTTCCATACCCTGCCTCATTGATCTTTGCCCAATTTTCAGCAAACAAAATCTTCTCACTAGAACTGCCACAAAATTTTTCATTTTACTTTAATATATTACTATTAAAATCAGCATTGCAGCATTAACAAAAAAAACCCCTGTACTTTGGCCTTCCCACCTAGATAAGCAAACAGCCTAGGAATGAATGGAAAGGTAGTGATGTGACAAGAGTCCACCATGGGGTACCAGAGCACCAGTGTCATAAAAGTGACCAAAGCAGCTCAATACTTCCTGTGCAGGGTAACAGTGTCTGGCCTGTAGGACTTTTGCAGAAGAGGCAATCAAACTTCAAACTGACTTTGAGCTGCTTTGACACAATTTGGAAATCCATGCCATGATTCCAGGCCACAGGCCAAAGGTAAACATGTAATTACCACTTATTTCAACATCCTGCTGTATACACAATGGAAGAAAAATGCAAAAAAGGACAACCCGGAGAAGATAAGATTTTATTTCTGCGCGGCAGCTGCAGCCTTTCTCATCTGAGTCAGCACATTGGAGAGCTCTTCACGCTTCCTCTTGGCTCGGACATGAGTCCCCAACTGCAACGAGATGGAGTTGCATGTCAATTTAGATTGAACTCTGCTTGGTCTGAAATTAAATACCAATAGTAGAAATGGAGCCTTGAGCCTCCTACCCTTTTCTTCAAGAATTTGAGGGCCCTCTTGTCCTTGGAGACTTTCAGCAACTCCATTGCCCTCCTTTCATAAGGTGCAAACCCACACACCTCCCTCACGATGTCTCTGATGAACTTGGTGTGCTTGGATGTGTGCTACAATGACAACAAAAATGCTCTTTGTGACAGGTACAAAATAAAGGATGACAGACATGGGACAGCACTTATTAGATAAGAATTCTAGAAGAGCAAAAACATTTGAAAATAAGACTGAGTGAAATCATAGATCTTGAAAAGATTCAGACAAAGTCAGGATTCCAAATACATTCGACACCACATATTGGAATACTCATGAGACCAGCACACTTTATTCCACAATTCAAAATTTTCCAATAACCAAAACTACCTGCAGTATTGTACATGCAAATTGAGTGTGCAATGGTATTCTATTATATGGGGTAAACTGTAATAGATTATCATAGGGCAAGTCACTGCAACCATTTTTTTAAAATGTTTTCTTGCTTGTCCAAGTCCTGCAGGCTTGGGCTGTTAAGGTATTTTACTTAATGTGGATGAGTCCTCTAACACAGAACAAATTACTTTTTCTTGTTCTCTTCCAGGTAATTGAGTAACTGTGGTTCTAAATCCAAGTGAGAAAGTTGAATTGGTTTTACTGCATGTGGGAGGACTTAGTTTCCAACAAAGTATAACATTCCATTACGGAAAATCTGAACAACTAAAATCATCTTCCTCAATCACCTTCAACAATTTCAATTATAGCTGAAACAGATGGGAAGAGTGAAAAGACACCCTCCTGAGAATGTAGAAATGCCTGGAACTGAATGGACTTCAAATTCATGATGACTGTCCATGGTTTTTTGGATCTGAAAGTCACATCTCCCATGCTTAAGTCCAATGTTAGTTTCACCTTATACACTGAAAGTCTAGGCTGTCTTGCAGACATGCAACAAGAGGTAGAGTTTGAGACAGTGACTCACAATCACTAGGGAGTAAGGACCACTGCCTCTGCATTCAATTCTCAAAACAGCAACATTAGGAAAGTCATGTTGGAGAAGGAAACGCCTCTTAGATTTACAAGCACATCCAGGAATCTTATGACTTCCATGCATCATGGAACTTACCCCTTTTCGGCTAGAAGGCTTCGGTTTCCTCTCATTCTTCGTCACTGGATAGCCTCTACTTAGGCCGACAGCCAGGGAATACCTCGGAGCCATTCTTGGGGGCTTGAAGCTGCAAAAGATCACAAGAATTAACTCTTGGATATGGAAATGACATGAACTTGACGAAATAAACTAGGCTACAAGGGTTATCAATAGGCCTAGCTCATGATTAAGATCATGTAAAATTGTTCTTTAGAGACAAAACATGCACTGATAGCACCAACCTATGCAAAAGAAAAAGCATGTAACAACCATAGGCCCAGTATGTTTTACATGACAATTGCATTACATTGCTTCAAATCATGCAACTCCCAAGGAAAAACTATTATACTGAATTCCCTTCTAAAGCTTATATATGTGCTTCAAGTGAAAAGAATGGTTAATTACAAAAAATGAAGGCCAGCACCTTATTCATATTTGGAATTCAATGACGTGTCTTCCATGCAGAAGAGAAGGGCTGAAGAAGTCAATAACAGTTTTAACTATTGCTTATTCCCAAAACTTAGTGAACAAGTGGTTTAGCTGCACATTAAACGTTAAAAAAATTAAAATTAACATTTCCACCTCCTTCTGAATGCCAGATGTCTTCCAACTTTGGGGCAATTTTAAGTGCAAAATGTAATGGGTGGTGGCAGCAAGAATGACTACAGTAGAAATTAATTGTTTCCTGCTTCTTTAGGGTGGTGGAGATTAAATTCATATTTAAAAAAATAGTAGTAAATCAATTCTTTTTCCATTCATGAATGAGAATATCCTATTTTCACCTTCACCTTCTAGGCCTATTTCTCCCAGTGTTAGGGCTGCTTGGAATGATTTGGAACCTTCTGTCACTTCTGATCTGAGAAGCTGATGGTCCTAAAACAAGGATATCAAGTTTGGTTGTCAGAGCAGATATCTCGGCTGCAAGTAAAGCAATATCAAGACTTATAATAGGGTTTGAAACAACATGTAGTCCTTGTTTGTATGCTTTGTAGATTTTAAGAAGGCTTTTGAGAGTAAACTGGGTGAAGATGATGGAGATACTGAAGGAAATTGGAGTAGATTGGAGGGACAGGAGATAAATCAGCAAGCTGTACTTAGACCAAGAGGCAGTAGTTAGAATAGCGGATGGCGAATCGGAACCATGCAGGCTTGGCAGAGGAGTTAGACAAGGATGCCCTTTTATCTCCAAATTTGTTTTCGATTTATGCAGAGAAGATGATGAATGAGGCTAAGGAAGGGATTGAAGAAGGTGTGAAAGTCGGGGGGAAGCTGTTGAAGGATATACGGTTTGCAGATGACCAAGGCATGGTGGTGAGCACAGAACAAGGACTTCAGAAATTGATGGATGGGTTAAACATGGTGGCCAAGAAGTTTGATATGAAGATCAATGGGAAGACGACAAAGCTGATGAAGATGTCTAGGAAAGGATGAGGAATAATTAGCATTGTGATTGACAGCCAGAAAGTGGAACAGGTGAAAAAGTTTAAGTACTTAGGAGCTTTGATCACAATGATGGAAAGTGTGAGGTGGAGATCAGAGCAAGAACAGGAATGGCAAAGGATGCTTTTAGCAAGAGAAAGGAGTTATTAACAAAGAGGATGAACCAAGAGGTAAAGAAAAAGATAGAAGGCAGTGGTGTGGAGTGTGGCTTTATATGGGTCCAAAGCATGGACTTTGAGGAAGGAAGACATCAGAAGGTTGGAGGCTTTTGAAATGTGGGTGTGGAGAAGAATGGAGAGAATAAGATGGATACATCAAAAAACAAATGAAGAAGTAATGTAAGTTGTTGGGGAAAAAAGAAGACTAATGAAAATGATTGCAAGAAGAAAGAAGAACTGGATTGGACACATTCTACATGGAGAAGGATTGTTGAAGGAAGTGATCGAAGGAAGAATGGATGGGAAAAGACCTAGAGGAAGTAAAAGAATTGGCATGCTGGAGGACCTGAAGGAAGGGTTGTTTGTGAAAATGAAGGACAGAGAACAGATCTAGGACCTAGGCCTAGGACCTGCCAATGGGCAGAATACTTAAGAAAAAGAAGTAGTACTTGTATGTCCTAGATGCTTGAGGTATTACAAAGTGAAGTGACCCTGGTGGTTAAAGAAAAAATGGTTCAGGATGAGTGTAAAGAACTCTGGGCACAGGTGGTTCAGATTGACATGTTGTTGCGGCTTGGTTAGTGCTGCATAATATTGACCTCAGTTAAGTCACCCTGATGAAGTCATCATGACATCCTAAGGCAATGGTACATTGACCAGATGGGAAGTAATATGATTTTGTTCCTAATCTCTGCATTATCTTTTTTTCAACTGAATTCACCTGAAATGCTAGTAGACCTAAGCCAATGGTCCTACACATAAATGAAAGATATTTAAGCATAGGTCCACCTCAAGTATTCATGACTGCAAAATATGTGCCTCATGTTTGACTTTGACATTCCCAGTCCTTAGTCCATGGATTGGGAGATCCAAATATGTTTCACCTAGGCCTATACGTACTTTGAGAAATCACAAGTTCTTTACACTTCATGCTTCCAAACCACAGGACTAAATTAATATGTTCTACTCCTCAGTTTTCTTTATATATGGAAGAATAAGATCTATGGATAGGCTGCATAAGATGTAGACCATGATGCTCAGAGGGAAAATTGTCCAAGTTTAGGTGAAGCATGCTAATAAATGATATACACAAGCAATCCAAATACCTATGAATACAAAATGGTAAATTATATCAAACAGGGCAAAGGTGAGCATACCATCATTCCATGCCCAACCAGGAATCCATAACCTGAAAAACTCTGTTTTTAGCACCAGCAACCTGAGGCTTACTTCTTGTTTTGTCCCCTTACTGTAATCTCCCAGCACCTCCACCACCAACTCATCTAGTATCCAAGCATTTCTGTCATCCAGACGATGGCCCATTTTAGAAACATTAAAAAGGCCTAGGCCTAAGGTACAGGCAAGGCCAGAATAGAATTCCTGACCATGATGTGATGGCATAGTAAATCAATGGAAGCAACCATTTATTCCTTATCATTTATAAAGCGACCAGCAAGCCTGCACTTACTCCTAGTCCTTAACCTTTTGTGGTACACTGGCGGACATAGTCCGACAATCTCCATACCGTTACAAAAAAAGGACCGGAAAGGTTAAAAATGTGTACAGCGTAAAGGTGATACCAACGCTGCTTGACCCAGGACATACAAAGTAAATATAACAGCAGTAAGCCTAACGATGATCCCCTTTCCAGTCAATAATTGAAGAAGTTTATTTAGGGTATGAATTTAAGGAAACGTGGATTAATACGGAGAATAACTCGAGACAACGTGTTACAAGTAAGCTTGGGCTAACGTTAGACTTAACGTTTCACTTTGGTTCCGATGGCCTGCCTGCAAACACGGGCCCTTAGCCCAGTAGAATTGCTGAGCTGATAAGCAGGCCTGGGTTAAACGTTAGGCTCATAATACACACAATGACTCTGTCTTCTTCCCGAAGCTTAAATATCAACAGGACATGCGACACATTTCAGGAAATGTTTCTTACCCGATCCCAGCCGACTCCAAACTGTGATGATTGAACACCGGAAGAAAGATGCTTGGGCCTATTCGCTTCTCAAGCATGGACTCCCAGCCGAGTCTGGTTAGAGATGCCAGTAACTATTTTCCAGCAGATATGATGGCGAAATAAAAAATACATCACTGGGACGCTTACTTAAACTTGTAAAAATGTTGCATAAATAATTCATTTTGAGATGGATTTCAGGTTCCCCATAGATTATATCCATGGCAATGTCCCTACAGGGCAATCAGCAGTTACAATTGCGAGGGGAGGGTGGGGGGCACTCTCATACCGAGGCTACAGGCTTGCTGAACCGCAAATAATCCTTCTAGCTAAGTGCAGTCATACCCTGAATGCCATCAAGACGAGTCGCTGATTACAAAAAAGAGTCAGTTTCTCATTCCTTAGTGACAGCTTCATTTTTTTTCTGGAAACAATCGAGAAGAGTTTGGATGAACGAGCAAACAGGTTCTTTGTACGCGTTAAACGTACATAGAGGAGTCTATGAATGCCGAATTTCGAGTTTGTCTTAAACAAAATAAAAGAATTGGCCAATCTCTGGTCCAAAGACGCTCCACGTTTGGAAACACGTTCGATGTTCACTAATAGGGCATGCTTCGGTCGTTGGGACGTTGTTCCAGGAACAGCCAAATGACTAACAGAGTACAATGGTCATTGAATCGATATTGTTTCGATGGTTTTATAATTATTATTTGCGAATGCATTTATTCTAAGTTAAGTAATAAAAAAATGGTTTTATTGTTGCACTTCTATTCTGTTTCATGTGCCATTCTCGCTATTGTCCGCCTTCCCGAAGACAGTATATTTTCCTGGATGAACCTCAACGAGAAGCCCTTTCCAGACAAGAGACTACTTCCACCCCTCCCCTCAAAACATTAATAATTAATGAAACTGGAATGGGAGGATGGGGCACCATAGGTCAAAGGGCGCCGTGGCTCAGGCTATCCATGCCCAGCCTTGTTTCACTTCATATAATCTGCTGTATATCTTCCGACTGAGAGGTCGGGAATGTTCAGTTGAGAAAAGAGCAGTCCCCACTCAGAGTGCAGATTGTACGGATGTTTTTTGCCGTAGCAGACAGTTTCTTTCGTTTTTGTTTACAGTGACATCTAGATTTTTGCTGTTTTCTTTTTTTAATTTGATTATTGCAGGATTGGAATCTGGAGATCAGGAGGTCAATGCCTGCGCGTATGAGCCACGATCAAAACTTACTTTGGTTGTCGTCCTTATTTCGTTTTAATGGCTCGTGTTGGTGCACGATGTGTAATACTATGCGGGGGAGAACGGGTCACAACTCATTGTGAGCCAATGGTTCCTGATAGTCGATGCATATAATGATTTCCTTTGCATTCTTTTTCCGACCTGATGATGCGAGATTAGAAGCGAAAGACTGAAGAGTTCATCACCAGTAGATGTGATATTCTTTGACGCGAAAGGAATCATAGATCAAAGGTTCGTATTTCTCCCAAAATGACGGTTGTGAAGTGTACCAGGATCGTGTCATGTTTAGACTAATTTATGTCAAGACGTTCGACCGACTGAACTTAATCTTAGCGATGATAATGGGGATGACCCATCATACCCCGAACCCATGATGCTCCCATTTTAAAATGCGACTTTACGGCTCGAAAATTATAGGTTGAGAACTTTGAAACAGAGGATTATGCATGCAATGCGAATCTTCACACGTTGCGATTCCATTGCTTCTGAGGAATAAAAATGCTATAGTTGCAGGGCAACAAAAATAGTAGCCTATGGTGCTCCACCCTCCCCCATATCGTACCCTGGAGTGCAGCGAAGGATGTAGACTAGAGAAGATATGGTGTCGTGTTTCGTAAAAGTATAGAAGGGGAGCAAGAGCGTCTTCGCATTTGCTGAGAATACCACATCGGCGATCTCCAGTCTCAGATATTGTTAATGCCGGAGGCGATGCCAGAGAGGCATGAATGACATGTTACAGTCACACAGACATTCAATGACGCGCACTTGCACTTTCACTCACTGTCCGTAGTGGCAGTCTTTCCGGATGAGATGGGAGATGGTTGTGCACAATACGAGCGAAAGCGACGGTGGTATAGTGGTGAGCATAGCTGCCTTCCAAGCAGTTGACCCGGGTTCGATTCCCGGCCGTCGCACTTGTGGATTTTTTTTCGATATTTCTACCGTTATCTCATGAAGACCAGAAAATGTACTGCTATTCAGATGAAAAGACAAAAACTTGACAAGGAATAGAGAGGGGGGGGGGGGGAAATATCCTAATTTTCCACTCCCTTTGCATTTAAAAAGAAACTTTCACGTGCTTTCAAGGGGGAATCACAAATTAACAGAAAAAAGCCAGTTGATATAACAGACACATTTTGTGAGGAAAAAATAAACGTGATGGATAGGTTCACCATTATCAACTGAAAAAACGAAGCAAAATGATTTGAATCGTTATCTTTCATGTAAAACGAATGCGGGTATAATGCCTAGGTCTTGGGGAAAATCAGTAGAAAACTGATACCTGTAGATACCGTTGGGAATTTCGCAATATATGTAAAACTCGAGCTATGCAAAATAATTCAAGGAAAGTTTTTTTACTCGAAACTGATTCGAGGATTGCGCAGGATATGTGCGTCTTTACATGTTGTGACTCCATTGCCGCTGAGGAATAAAATTGGTCAAGTTGCAGGCCAACAAATATAGTGACCAATGATGCTCCACACTCAACTATATCGTACATCTGAGTGCAGAAAAGGATGTATAATAGAGTTTGTCGTGTCGAGTTCTGCAAATGTATGGAATGGGGCTAGAGCGTGTTCACATATGCAGAGTTCGCAATATGGGTAATCTGAAGTCTCGGGTGTTGCAAATGCAGGAGGCAATGCCAGAGACGCTTGGATGACATTCAGGTCAACGTTCCAGTCACACAAACATTCATCGACACGCACCTGCACTTTCACTCACTACCCGTAGTCCCAGTATTTCCGGATGAGAAGGGAGATGGATGTGCATACCTAGCGTGGAAGCGACGGTGGTATAGTGGTGAGCATAGCTGCCTTCCAAGCAGTTGACCCGGGTTCAATTCCCGGCCGTCGCAGAAGTTTTTCCCACTCCATTTCCATAGCTTTCCATAGCATTCCAATAGCTTGTCTGCAGAGTGAACTTCTTCAATCCGTTTTGATGGTGTTCCATAAATGCAAGTGCAATTCAGATTACTAGTCCAACCTACTCAAAAACAAGGCAAGGAAAATACATTAAGGATCCTTCCTTCGTATGTCTTCCGCAATCACGACCGTTACAGATGAGAGTGAAATTGCACGTGGGAGGCACGTAATGAATTTACTCTCTCCAACTTGGAATGCCGTTCTTTCTTCCCTATCTTTGTGTCTGGCATTTTCTACCCGGCGAAAGATAATCGAATACATTTTATACCCTGTACATAGCGCGATAAGCATGTACTTTACACTTTAGGGTTTCAATTTGTTCTTTGCAGTACTCAGTTTCCTATATTTTGAAGCATTATTATATTTATTCTCCAATGTCTGAAACATTCCACTTTTGCTTTTTTTTCATCGCACTCTCCTATAACGTGAAGTAGGCCCATGGAATAGTGATCGAGGACCAATCCCACAATCGGGTTCCCGTTGACAACTCCCGGGAGGAATTTTCACGAATGGCAAAAAAACTGGTTCCTTGTCCTCATGGACCATATGTAGAGAAGTAGCAAAAATTCGAGTGTGTTTCAACGATAAATACATAAATACTGCCAATCTCTGCCCCAACGTTGCTCCCTTCATGCAACAACATTCGATGTTGGATATATCGGTGACTTGAGCGCCATCTTGCATTTATTGCTGTCATTTTGTTCGATGAACCGCCAGTTGACTGGAATGCATTGGTTATCGAATAAATATTGTTTTGATGGTAGCATAAATGCAATAAACGAGTGCATGGGTTCGAATTTCAATATTAATGAAGCTTAATAATGAAAGAAAACTTTTATTTCAAAACTTTTCTTCCATTTAGCTTGCATTTCCCAATCCAAAACCCAATGAATCGAGCAAGAAACTCCTCTCCTGTCAAAGTACCGATGGGTATAAAGTAAAACTGGCACATCGCAAACTGGATTGCAGAGATGGAGTTTTAAATATAGAGTGTACTAAATATAGAATGGCTCTGTGGGATTTGAGAACGGAAAAGTATCGAGTGGGGAGTAGAGAATGTATGGTGTCTAGTTTTGTAAAAGTGTAGAGTGGGGAAAGAACTTGTCCAGATTTCCGGAGTATTCTATACTCGTGCTCCATCAGCCTTGGTGTTGTGAAGTCCGGATGCGACGGCAGAGGGAGAGGATGACATAGAGGCCAACGTTTCACACTCACACAGACCATGCAGGACACGCACTTGCACGTTCACTCGCTGTCTGTAGTGGCAGTATTACCTGATGAGATGGGATGTGGAGAAGGAGGGAAGAGCATGGAAGCGACGGTGGTATAGTGGTGAGCATAGCTGCCTTCCAAGCAGTTGACCCGGGTTCGATTCCCGGCCGTCGCAATTTAAACTTTTTGCTTTCATTCCCTCCTGTATTGGTGTTTCGTGTAGAGCAATACTTTTCCCTTGAATGAATCCCAACTGAGCAAAACCATGACACTGGTTCATAAAGAAAAGGTTTATCTCGCATCGAAAGTGTTCTTTCTTAGTGAGGAAGGAGAACCTGATAACCAAAACGGGCCTCACTAACACACCGATAGGCAGGCGGGCGCGTTTCTTTCTATAGCCAGGAGAGGGGAGCGATGCGAAGTCGAAATCTTTCCCCGATTGGAAATCGGCCGCCTGCCCGCCGCTGTGCAAACGATGCTTTGGTTATCCATCTCATCCACTCATTTTCCCTTCTCGGATCTGATTCGTATCCTGTCAAAATGTCGAAAACAGACATGTCGACTGTCCGATTGTCGATTACCAAATATGTCGAATTCCTGAACGGCGAAGGAATGAAATGTTGAAAGTCGAAATGTCGAAAGAGAGAAAAGTCGAAATGGACTTTTATTTATTCTGTCAACTCATCAT